ACATCCCACACCCCCCCCCCCCCCCCCCCCCCATGGCCGTTCCCAACAGAGAGAGAGAGAGAGAGAGAGAGAGAGCCATAGAGTTAGTGAGATAGAAATAGACAAATGAAGATTTGTGAATAGTCCATCAACATTAGAGAAGCAGCAGCCTCCTCTCCCCACTGCTTCTTTGGCAGATGTTGTCCTTTCAGGTAAGCTTCACTTGCAGATGTTATATTAAAGGAAGGAAATGCAGACACTCCTCACTCTTCTTATGTTTTTCATCACTCCTCTAAACCACTTACTCATTCTCAATGTTGAGCTCAATTAAATCACATGAAGAAGAAGGTGACGAAGAATCCCACCGGCGTAACCGCCGGCACCACGATTCCCCCTCCCCCGTCTACCTCCTCCTCCGCTGCGCCGAACTCATCCACCATGCAGACCACCCGGCCGCTCGCCGCGCCATCTCCCTCCTCTCCGCTGCCACCACCACCCCCTACGGAGACTCCACCGACCGCATCACCCATCAATTCACACTCGCTCTCTCCCTCCTCCTAAACCCTCTCACCCACCTCCCTCCCTCTGAATCCAACAATTCCGCTCAATCCTCCTACCTCTCTCTTTACCAAATCACTCCTTTTCTCCGCTTTGCTCATCTCACCGCAAACCAAGCCATCCTTGACGCCGTCGATGGCCACCACCGCATTCACATCCTTGACTTCGACACCTCTCACGGCCTCCAATGGCCTCCCTTCCTTCAAGCCATAGCCGACCGCTCCGACCCCGCCAATCCCCCCTCCATCCGCATCACTGGAACCGGATCCGACCCCTCAACCCTGACTTCATTATCCAGCAGAAGGATATAAACTTCAGGTGGTGAGGGGCTCTTGCTTCCTTGGTTGGCAAAACAAGCCACTCTTCTCGGTTTCTTCTTGGCACTGCAATTAAATTGGATGCGAATGTTATTAGTTATTTTGCATTCTAATTAAACTTACTTGTTTCTTAAGGTTTAATGATAATAATACCCCTAACCCTAACCCTAACCCTAACCCTAGGTTTAGGGTTGAGGGAATTTTGGTGGTGGTGGACGTTGCATGGGGAGTTTAGCAAATAAGTGTGAAAGGATTGGAATAGTTTACTCATTAGTTCCATGACTGACTAATGACATGTTTTTTAATGTGGATGATGCTTGTTTTTTAAGTTGGTGCTTGCTTTCTTATTTTTCTTGGTTGCTTTATGGCGCAAGCACTTATTCCTTGGGAAAGTTCCCATCTTGAGTGTCACCTTTACTTCCTTGCTTTATTTATTGAGATTTTTTATAGGAGAGCTATCTATAGATTCCATAAGTTTGTTGCAAAGCTTTCACTTTCAACTTTAAAAATTGTGGTTTTAACAAGTTTTAATGGATTGTGGTTGTAGTGTAATTAGGTAGAAGATGTGATTATGATGGAGGAAGAAGAAACCTTTGGAAAGTTCTATTTTTTCACGGTTTTCTCCTTTGTTCAAGTGATTTGGGTTTAATTTATGTTACTACATACATTTACTTATTAAAATAGACTCCACATACTTAGTTGTTTTCATACAAGTTATATATTTTCATATTGCACGTGCAGGTGGGATAACTTATATACATTTTTTATTTAGACTTCCATATTTCCTTATTTCGATCATGTCGTTTGTTTGATTCCATTAGGCAATAGGGAGTGGTGCTGTCCTTAAAAAACTAACCCTAAACATATTTTCATCATCTTAAATAACAATGCCCCTATAGCATCTAAAGGCTATTGTGTGCTCACTTTACATTAGTTCTCTTTTGACTTTTCTTCTGCGTGCAGCAGTGTTTCCCTTCTTGTCTTCCACACCATGGCTGCATTATGTTTGCTCATCGTCTCTATAGGTGTGCTCTATTTCTCGTCTCTCCCAATTCTAATTAACTCTCGACTTTTTGAAGCCCCCTTCCTTCCTTGGGATCTTGCATTCCTTGTTGCAGTTTTAAGAAGTACTAAATGATTCTCTTATTTATTTGGACATTGCCACTTGTGCATAATAACTCTGCCATACACTTCCTACATCTCTTTTCCTTTACCTTAGAAACATAGTTTATATACTATCAGCAGCTTATGTCAACAGATGTGACTGCTGTCTTTTCCTTGTAATTAATTAATTGGATCACTTGTGTTAATCTCTGCCAAATGGAAGACTAAGTACTTGGGGTTTATGGAAATTTCAACGTGGAATGTAGAGGAAAAAAAATCAGAAAGCATATAAAATATATTGTCACAACATGTTTTTTAGCAAGTATGATTGGTTCACATGAATTAATTTGCAAGCTTTTGTAACAGCAATGTTTGTAAGTGTCAGCATGATTGCTTATGACTTCTGTCATGAGAAATTCAGTCCACTATTTTCATTTTTATATTGTTTTTACGTTGAATCTCAAGTGAATAAAGCGATGTTGTTGCAGATTTCTCACATGACATCTTGAAAGAGGAGGAAGCACATTCTATGTATAAGAATATGAATATGGTGACAGCATCATGATTTTTGATGACACATTTTAAAATTATATAAAAATTGTGTTGTATTAAAAAATCAAAATAATGACCATTTTGTATGTGTGTAATTTCATGTGAAAGAATATGCTAAAAATGGGTTGCTTTGCTGGTGCCAAAAACATGGCTGGTAAAGAATAGGAAAGAAAAAATTACTGTGTTATAAAAATACTATCTGAATTATTCTCTACCATTTATACGTATGGATGCAATTTCGTGGTGCTTCAGCTAAAACTTAGAATATTAAGAGCTTTGTTCACAGGTCAGTTGGTAGAGCATTAGCTTCGGCGGTGTAAGATCCCTCTGATTTGAGGTTCAAATATTGCCTTAGACAATTGTTGCCTAAAAGGAAAGGGACCTCGAATGATTTGACTCATGGGGTCCTGGCTCGCATTACCTAACGATGCTGGCGAAGCACAAAAGAATTGGTTGACGGTTCCGTCCATCAACCAATCTTTTCTCAAGTGAATAAAGTGATGTTGTTGCAGATTTCTCACATGACATCTTGAAAGAGGAGGAAGCACATTCTATATATATATAGAGGTAGATAGATATATACTGCATTTTATTTTTTATATCTGCTGAGGTGCTAGAGTAAGTATGCTCGAGATTTCTGAGTTTCTTAGTCAAATTTTAATGAATGTCAAAGCACAATAATGGAAAAAATTAATGATGTGGTACAGAACCAGGTCTCTTTTGTGGCTTTTGTGCATTAAATGTGTGATGAGAAAATAACTGATTCTTATGTTTGTAGTATTTAAATATTTAATGTGTATGGGTGAAGCAATGGGGTAGCTTGGTTGGTTGGCCAAATTCAGGATGGTACTGCATGCATTCATTGCAATGATAGGTAGGAATGGAGACATTATATATGGCTCAGTATCTGTCCAAGATATGTGAATTTAATTTCTTAATGATTGAATTCCCAGCAGAAGGGCATCAAATTTATGGCATATCATCTACTGAACAAATTGGCATCTATGATATTTATTTACTGCAATTCATGGGAGATCAGCAAACATCTTTCTGTACAACAATAATTATTAATCTCACACTTTATTTTCAATTAATAGTTAGCAATTACATGTTTTGCTTCAGTTGTTTGGCATCTCTAGGATCAGCAGACAGTATAATTGAACCTGAGCATTTCATTAATCATACTTGTGCAATGCATATGCAAAGTAGTTGATTTATGAATAAGTGAGATGCGTGCTTGATTACATAAATTGATTTAAGTTCTCATATTTGTAGCATATCTTCTTTTGGACAAATGAACATCTATTATATTCATTCTTTCCTTTCAAGAGAAATCAGAAAGTGTCTTTTTGCACTACTAAAAGTTAGCTTCTATATAGCAAATGGATCTCTAAGTTCAAGAGACAGGATATAGCATGTCTTAAAAAGATTCCAATATAGTTGGGACAAAAAGAATGCAAGAAATTGATTATGGGAAATCTATGTATGTGTAGAAGCTTGAATTTATTTTAAGGTTGTCCTTTCTTTGTTTTATGTTCAGATTTGTTTTGTGCTTTCAGTTGGCTTTTATGAATCAGTGTCCATTGCTAAAGACTTGATCATGAAAATGTATAAATCTCATTTACAAAAATACATTTTTGATTGGATCAAGAAAATGCATAAATTACATTCTCTTAAAAAAAACACAAGCCTGGAAACATTTTGGATACATCCTTTATGCTTCTAGCTAATTCAAATCTTCCATCATATTTCTGGTTGGAGACAATACTCATAACAATACACTTAATTAATAGAATGTCATTTCTCACTGTCAATAATAAATCTCTATATCACATGCTACATAACACAATACTAGATTTTCAACATATCAAAGTTTACAGATGTGCTTTCTATCAATGGATTCTTTCGGTTTAGGGAAACAAATTAGAACGATGAGCAACACTTTGTTCCTTATTGGCTATCTTGAAAATATCAAAGGATACAAGTGCTTTAATCTCACTAAAGGTAAACTATTATCTCCAAAAATATTATTTTCAATGGATAAACATTTTCCTACAAAGAATCTATCAATAAAAATTAAAAACAAAAAAAAAAACATCACTTATTGCATCATTCACATTAATACATATATCAATTATAAATAAGAAATCACTTAAAACTAAAAAAACTCCAATACACAATCATAATCCAGTTACATTCAACAATAAAACAAACATTACATGCTCCATGACCTACTCACAATACCAATATCAATACATTAACTATGCATCCACCTCATAATCACATGATTACTAGATCAAAATCTTGGTGTCTTCTAGCAAAAAAAAACTTTAATTTAAAGCACATTCATAGTCAAGTGTTTGAACCCACTAATTACACTCAGGAAACTGAACATAATCATAAGAAAAAGGCAACGGAGTAAGAGTTAAAGCAATTACAAAACTAAGAAACATGGATCATAGTTCTAAAATTCCAATAAAAAAATTATAGAATGCAAAAGGATTTTTAAAATCAATGACATAGGAATAAATATGTTGCTAGGTATAATGCTAGGCTAGTAACTCAAAGATTTCAACAATAATATGCACTTAGCTGTAAAGAAATGTTTGGCTCGGTTGCAAAACAATTTTCCTACAACTCATACTCTACTTATTGTTGCATGTCTTTCATCATAAGTGAAAGGTATTTAAATTAGATGTTTCAAATGTTCTTCTACATGTGAGTCTAAATGAAGTCATCTATACAAGCTAATCACCTAGATGTGTGGACAACACATTACCAAATCATGTCATCTCTTAAAAATGGTATTTAAATTAGATGTTTCAAATGTTCTTCACATGACAGTCTAAATGAAGTCATCTATACAAGTTAATCACCTAGATGTGTAGACAACACATTACCAAATCATGTCATCTCTTAAAAAAAATTATTTATGGCCTTAAACAAACACTTTGGTAGTGGTTTAACACTTTCACTAAACACCTTCTTAGCTATGTATATGATATTATGCCCATTAAATTACTTATATATCAACAAAATTTAAAATATACTTACCTTTTGTTGTATTTATATGATGTTTTGTCCATTGAAAATATCACCATATTCACTCAACAACTCTAGAAAGATCTTTAAAGCAAATTTTCTATGAATAATCTAGGAACAATTTTTAACTTTCTTAGCATTAACATTAATCCTATTCAAAATGATCTATTTTTCTCTCTAAAATATTATGTTTCAAAAATACTAAAATGGGATGGCACAATAGAGTGTAAATTTCATCCTATTATGATCACTTCTAAAATTAATCCATACCTGAATATTAGCAACCATTTGATAAT